CTGATCCTTGTAATCAAATTATAAAAATTGGCGATTTTGGATTAGCAAGAAATATCTATGCACACAATTATTATCGTAAGGACGGAGAAGCTTTACTCCAAGTTTGGTACTAMAATATCTGATGTATATTATGTACATCTACCTATATTTTATTTTTATCTTCAGATGGATGGCGCCAGAATTACTAGTGGATGGTGTTTATACTAGTAAATCTGATGTCTGGGCTTTTGGTGTCTTAWTATGGGAGATTATGTCGCAAGGTCAACATCCATATCCAGGACTGTCCAATACAAATGTTATGTATTTTGTTCAAAATGGTGGAAGACCTGAAAAACCAATAAATTGTCCAAAAACTTTGTAAATATGCAATAAAAATTAATTAATTTTTTAATTAATGTTTATATTTTTTATTTCAGATATAAATTAATGAATAGCTGGCATGATGAGCCTGATAAAGGGCCTTCATTTAAATTTTGTCTAAAATTCATAAAATTGTATCATACGGTTCTTGAATACATAAATCCAGAGAAACCTCTTGAAGAAAAATCTATTCCCGAATATTTAAATTTATAATTYAACGAATTTTCCCATTAAGTTATATATTTTGTAAACATTATATATTATTTTTATTTAATACATAAAATAGCATATCAATAAAAATATTACGATCTGATATTTGTGGAAAAGAAGGRAACAGACTTATTACATAAAGTATCACTGAACAAAAGTCCAGAAGATGTAATCTATGCATTAACTGTTTATGTTTTAACTTAGAAATATAAAAATATAACTTGTCAACTTTTTTTTTTATTTATTTAAAATGGTTTTCTAAGACATAATTTACTGTTGGATAATTTCCATAAACCATAAGTTACAAATAATGTGGCGAAAACTATATTTTTGGTCGTCACGATATATATTTTTTCGAAAAATTTTAAAGAAAAATAATCATAGTACTATAACAAAAGTTATATTATAATATGAATCATTTGCCACGGCCTGATATATCAGAAAAATACAACTCCATAAAGTTTAGGGAACAAATGAAATTTTAATAGGCTTGTTAAAAAAAAAACTATAATGTGGACCCTTGTTTTAAATTTTTAATCCTTAGCTATAAAAATTGAAAATTTTATAAATTTTTAACTACTAAATAATCTGTAAATAATAAATTTGATAAATTTGAACATAATATTATTATGTATCCAATACAAAGGCTATTATTAAGCATATATTTTTATTTTTTAAATGATGTCAATTTGTTGACTACCTTTATTTTATTTGGTTCTGAAATCTTAGTCTCAAAGCTCTGTGGCTTATTTACAGAGTAATAAAAATTTTAATTTTATGAGGATAAACACTTATTTGATAAATGATAATAATATATTTTGCTTAAATTTTTTAAAATTTAAAAAAAGTGTGTGTGTAATATGGCTGATTTTCTATAAAATAAAAAGATACTGTTTTATGTCCATAATCACTTCTGCATAAGTACAATAAGGAACGACACTAATACGTAGACTGTGATATCCAGTGAGTGAGCAGTGAAAGACAAGCTGCTCGATGTGTAAAATGGCTCAGCATCAGATTTTGGAAGGGCGACAGTAGTGTGCATAAAGCTGTGGTTTGTTACAGTTTGTAATGAAGGAGCTTCGGTGCCTAAAACAGGGGTAAAAACAGCTCCTCGGTCTCGATCCAAGACTTACTGTGGTGTAACTAGGGCATAGTAAATATGAAATAGGTATTTTAGTCAA